TGTTACTATCCGTCTTTCGGTTTCTCCCTCACGAGCAACCCTCAGAAGTCTTCGAGAGACTTGTGCGAGCAAGGAATGACGGGGTCTTACCTTTTAACGTGTGATCCCAAACACTTTCTTAGGCCATCTGAAAAAATTAGATTAGATTAGAACTTAGAACAGTGTTGCCCCAGACATATGTTTTTTCGAGCGGGCTACGCTGTCAAAAACGAGCGAGATCTTGACTCAAAGAGCCAGATTTTGTTGTTGATGGAATAGATGATCATTAACCCAGGACACATCACTATGGTACATAAATGAATATAAAAATGAAAATTTTATTTTATTTTAAGTTTTTTATATATTTTTGAAAGCATAGCTCTACTCTTCATTGGATTATTCATGACAAAGCTTGATGCCTCAACCGATCGAAGAGTTACAAGAATTGATCCCTTGTTGAGTTAACAAAGAGAATCATGCAACCGACCCTAAGCATCCTAATTATGATCTTTGAAGGGACCTTCCAAGGCTATCCGGTCGAATGTTTAGTTTTAGTTTGTAGAATGATGGAAATAAGCATGACTGATGCGCTTTTGTTCCACAAACTCTTCTCCACCTCTCGAGAACTATGATGGTTTCGGCGATCTTCTGATAGATGGTGACATTGTACAAGTATGACATCTGTCAATTTTGAAATTGCCGCAGATTCTGCGAATTTCAAGTAAAATAAACCCACTTTCACATATGTCATTTTATTTCCACTCGTCCCACTCGTCACAGCAGCAATAGCAGCATCACCATCTATCTAGCAAGTGATTTTTCCACAGCCTCCTATATACTTAACTTTTTCTTAAGTTTTCAATCGTTAAAAATGGCCGACTACGCGCGCTATCTACTCATTTCCATCATTGTTTGTAGAAACATTAAATTTATCGATTGTGTTAAGGAAATTTATGCTAATATAGCTGAGCTTTGAAAAAACATTCAATGCCCTCCGCTATACGAGTCGTGCATCAAACTTCACAGGCGGGAGGAAATAGATAACTTTCCTCCCTTGTATTATAAATAGCTTTTGTATAACCACAAATGATCGAACGCATAAAATGTCAGCCCAAGCAAAAATAAACTTCATATATTAGTGGGAGACCTATATAAAGGACACTACCTATGGAAGACAATTTTAGAAAGCACGGCTTAAAAGAGGAAGATTAAGGCATATGCTGTGGGAAGGAGGAGAACAACTTCATGGGGTATAGCAAAGGAAGTGGGCACAATAATATATATCTTGCATACAATACAATATGAATAATAAAACTACCAGTGGTGGATAATGGATTAGTATAGGTCAACAGGAGGAAGAACATTCAAAGAGAATGTGTCATACTATTTTTTCATTAGGGCAATCCTAATCCTCTCGGTTAGGCTGATAGTATGATTCAATTAATGAATACCTGATGCACATACAGTTAGATATACGTTTAAAAAATGTTTAGATAAGAAATCTTACTTGCCGTAATAATAACCACGGTATTTTGTACGGCAGATAACAAATGCATAATAGTGGAATAATTAATACGATGTTTATATAACAATTACCCACTTCCTATTTGGAATTTCAATTGCATCATTAGCAACATTACCTCTCCTATAGTCCGTCATATTACTGTCATAACCTATACCTATACACAGGCTTATAGCCAAGAGGGAGCCAGGGAGGGCAAAAATAAATGAAAAATGCCTGATACTGCTTTTAAAGATAAGAACAATACGATGACAACTTGTAAATCACCGAGAAAATTGAAAAGATCGATATGAAGGTCAGCTTGGATGATGATTAAGATAATGGTTTAGTTAGTACAATTTCCGGTAAAACAGGAAGTGGGAAAATAAACAATTATTTTTGGAATTTCATGTGATGATTAGAATCTTCATTATAGTTTTTCGAAACTGCGCACTAGTGTTCTTTGCACACAACTCAAGTGTTTTTTCTTTGTTCAAGTGCAGCTGAGGAATAAAAGATAATAATATTTCAATACGTCTAGAAACAAATAAAATGGCGCAAACAAGATCAAGTCTGTGTAAAACCCCATACCCCGCTGCATAATATTATTAAAACCTCACTCTGGCGTCTTCGTTTTTTATAAAAATCGTCTCAGTTCTAGCATGACATATCTAGTGATAAATACAGTTTCTTATTGGTAGATATCAGTTCCCCATCCTTTTCTCGAAACAAATATGAGCTGCTTTCCCCTACTCCAGATCCTGGAAAGGTATATATATATATACGCCCTTGAGGCTGTTGCTGCCTTCTCCAAAGAATATTTGTGGTTTACCTATGGATGAAATGAAATCGAACAAAACCTTAGAGGCTTAGCAACTCAGCAGGAACAGGCCATTTTTACGCAATCCTGTATCCTCAAAAGAACATGTGTGTGATGAAACAGTGTCAAGTGTTGTGGCGGTGGATGATATTCACTTTTTTGTAATCTGAAATGTTATCATTATATAAAAGGTTGTATAGAAATGTGAACCATTCAGTTCCATGCAGAAGTATATGTATATATAGGCGATTTTCGAAATGTCTCCGAACATCTCTGATCTTCAAATAGATTATCATCGTCTTTATGCAGTCGAGTGATTCCAAGGTTCACAGTTGTAGCAAGAAGTTCAAGTTACGTTCAATCGTTGAGGTTTGAGGTAACCACCAATCAACTATGAACCTATAATCAATTCTCCTAGAATCCCAGCCCAATCATTCAATTGCTGGGGAGTTTATGATTGAGTTTCCCTGTACCAATAAGGATTTATGTCACTCCAGTATCTGCAGTTGTGCCTGTTCACATGTTAATAAAAAAAAGATTCGACAGAGAAGCCTACATTGCATTTGCATATAGAAGTAATTATGATCACCAATAAATAACTGACTCTTGATTTCACAAAACCCTGTGACGTATGTCAGGATCATCATCATTCAGTTCTTGTCTGTCACATTCTGCATTTTATGCGGATGGGATTTGGCTTTTTCCATCAGCTACTCAGAATATTTCTGCTTGACAATCAGCTTTTCACCGTTATAGAATTCTCCATTCGTGAATGTTTTTGAAATCCATGATGGTTTAAGTATATTAATTGTAAATATAGTTGCGTATAATATCTCGTGCAGTATAATTCCACAATTATTGAGAAAGGTCATCATACATTTCGAGAATTTCTCATATACTTCTTTATGGTACTGAATTATTGAACCTTCTGAATGATATCATTTCAGCTGATAAAAATAAGCAAATCTTGATTACACTTGATCGATTTTCTATAACATTACACCGAAGTATGAGTATAGTCCAGTGTTAACTTACCTTTAGTGTATCTCGAGATTCATTATGATGGAACAAAGCGATTCATTTATATTTTACAGTTAAATAAAAATTCCGCATCTATAACTATATCAATTTCTTCCAATATACCTTTTGAATCTCTGGAACAAAGTCATCCAGAAAATATTGGAAATGTTTCTCATCATGAAAATGTGACAAGAACATTTCAGGCACTGCAGTCCTGTTTGGAGATTTAGTCGATATATGCCCACCCAAATGTGCACAAACTTCTGAACATTTTCCATATCTAAGTACATTGCCAGTGTCCACTCCGACACCAAAAACATCATCCTTTGAGACGCATCCAAACCTATAAAGACAATACTACCGCCCAAGTGAGACTTAATGAACTAGCCATGCTGTCAATTCATATAGAGAGGTCATTGCTCGCCAAAAACAATTCTTTTTAGGTATAGACAAATCAGACATTTCTATTGAACAAATAATTGTTTTGCAAATAAAAATATATATCCTCCTCCCCAAGAGAGACTTCTGGGTACGCCACTGTACTAGTCCTATTGAAAATTCTGATGGGGTGCTGGAGTGAAGGGAATTGACAGAACAATTTTTTTTTGAGTTCTGGTTCCCACGAAAAGGGATATCTTGTAATGTTCAGAGAACATCGTGAGAACCAAGGGAAATAAGGTAGGAATTTGTGTTCTTTTTAAATTTCTGAAGGTTATATGCTTCGAGGAGCACCTCCCTTGGCAATGTGTTCCAGAGCCTCGTTGTTCGTTGGATGAAGGAGTCTTTGGAAAGAGATGATCTGCAGGTCTCCAAAGTGACCACGAAGGGGTGCGAAGCCTCAACTCGACGGGTTAATCTCGCGGGGACTGCCAAAGGAGGAACAATTATTGTTGATATTTCAGAAGAGCATCGTCCATGAAAATATCTTTATAATAGAGCCAGATCGCAAACTTTTTTACGGTGTTCCAGAGAAGTGAGTGAGTTTGTGAGCGAGGCATCACCAACGAGACGAATTGCCCTTTTTTGGACAGAATCCAACAGTTTCAGGGTATGCTTGGGTGCTGCACTCCAAATATGGGAACAGTATTCCAGGACAGGTCGGATCTGTGCCTTATAGACGTACATGGTGGAAGAGTTTCCCCTATAAATGAAAGCGATTTTCGATTTTATCTACGACATATACGATAGATAAGGGGGGTAACAAGTTTTATATGTAAATCGACCAATTACTCAACCCTACCCCTATGCGACGAGCTTCCTCCCTCCCGTTCTGGCGAGAGCGCGCAATGGGCGTGACGTCACCGCGTCACGTGACCAGAACCTCCGGTCCGATGCTTCTGAGACGGTTCGCCGCAGTCAAATCGGGCTTAGGCGATCAACTAACGCGCCGATTGTCAATTGTCACTATAAGTCGAGAGCGATAGGTCGAAGGTAGTGCGGCAAACAAGAGACGACGAAAAAACTGTGCGCGAATTTCGAGTCAGCTCGAGTGGCAAGTTGGCGTTCTATGGATTTGAATTTTTTGCAACACAAGTTAGTTTTTTCAGTGTACCCATTTATGCTTTTTTCTCACCTGCTCGCTTCTGTCTGGGTTTCAGTTTTATCTTTAGAATCGAAAGATTATCGCGTCCGATAAGGTTGAACTTGATTATATTTTTGATAAGATATTTTTTTGTGGGGATGTCCTCTATCTTAGAGCTTTTGTTATCTGAAAAGTGAGTGATGCTTCAGGATATACGAAGTTTTATTTTTTGTTTTTATTTTTTCAGTCCCTTGTATTCAAGAGGACCTAGTGCTTATTCTACTGGGACTATGCCGTATTATAACAGTGGATCTCCGGAATTGAATACACAGTCATCACAATTATGGACAAATTCAGGTGAGTCAATATTTTCGAATTACAATGATGGACCTGTAATGATATTTTGAATACACCAACATTAATACTGACGCCACCAAAATGAGTATCAGAGTTGGCTAGCTCGGATTAGGTAGACAGACTTTTGTTTTTCAATGCATGTTGCGATTAGAATGTATTTCAGCTTTCAACCTAATTTTTGATTGAATATGTAATTTTTTTGCCGGAATATTATTACGATAAGATATACGATAGTTGTTGTTGTACCTATACCTATGTATTTATTCAAGATAAGTAGGTATATTATCTATAGGAACGTTCAATCAATACTTAGATATATGTAAAGGTACTTATTGATATAACTATACGTTCATGTCAAAATTGGTGTTTATAAACATTCCACTGATGTCCGAAAAGAGGCCCGAAACTGTCAAAATCTCAGTGGGTTGTGACATCTTACTCAATGTATTTGATTTGTAGGAGGTTATTGTCTCATTACAATTTAATAGCATAGGTAGTAGCTATACTTAGATGTTTCTCAGTTTAACAACTGAGCAAATTGATAAACTCTCAAAGGAAAGTAAATGAACTGGCTTTTCAGAAGACTTTTCATATTATATGTGCATTGGAAGGTGTTGTTTATTTATAATGATAATAGTACTCGCACTCGGTTCGTTATTGTATTGAAACGAAACAGTCGAAAATAAAAATTTGTGATAATTTGATGATGGTTTCAGGAAGATGAAACGTCGACTTTCAAATTCCAGAATTCCAACTTGTAGGAAAGAAAACGTCGCCATGGTGAAGTGTCAATCATTTCGATTAATTTCCTAAAATAGCTGAAAAAAAAATGAATAGGGTTTTAGGACATTTCGTTTTTTTTGTGGTTTTTTTCGTATATAAGTATATCTCCGAAAGTATCCGGAACTTTCAGAGTTTCAAATCAGCATTTTGTTAGGCATATAATATTGCGCAAGTGTACATATATTAAATTTTTTTAACTATTGATTTCTCACCTAATCATTATCTCATAATTTGATAATCAGTATTTGATATTTTTGATCACGAAAATAAACATCTTCTGAAACTGTACATCATACCTACTGGATGATCTCTTTATTTTGCCATATCAATTCAACCATAATGCTATGCCACTCATATTTTTCAGAAAAAAAACACCCTGTATATAAATAACGAAGATTTAAAAAAATTTTTGTTCGTCGACCACTACAAACATTCACATTTTACGTTCTAATTTCCGAACGAAAAACCGATAATTATAGGTACTTTTCGTCCGCAGACACAAACTTTTCGCCCGCAAACAGTTTTCGTCTGCTGCAGGTTGCCAGATCCACTGAATTTTCATTAGATCTCCTGATTGGCATACATTGATCTAATACTGATCTACTGAACCATTTTATACCCTACATTTTATACCTCCTCAATGTTTTATTCGTTCTGTATTTTTGTTGTTCATTTTTACTATTCGTTTATGTTTTTTATATTTCTACTCAAATCCTATAAGTACCTATGTAACTGTATTTTGCGATCTTTGTGAGTATTTTTAAATTGAGAATGAGGAATATGATTATATTTTTTATAAGAATATTTCGAGGAATATTTGTTTTTTCTGTGACGGGAAAAAAGTTTGGCATATCGTCTCTTTTGGTTTTAAAATTTTCATAAATTACTTGTTTCCCGTGGGAAAGATGTGAGTACTTCTTTCCCGGATATATATCACATATATATACACTGTTGATGGCTTTTGTTGTGCTATAGTCCCGAAAAATGAGTCAATAATACCGTCTCCGAGAAAGGACTTGCAGTTCTTTTTTCTCTCTTCCATTCGACTTCGCGGTCACGTATATTACTAAACAGCCACTAAATTCATAATTTTTTAAAATAAAATCATAGAATCAGACTGATGACAGAAGTGACATCAGATATTTGATTACTTCAAATGGATGATAAAGATGCCTACAACGCAGGTGTCCCTACTGTTGAAAACTTAAAATTTCACGCTGATAATTTTGAGATTTCAAAATAATGTAATATCTTCTCTATAATTGATTCGTCCTTTCTCCTTTCACAGAAAAAATAGTGTATTATACACGGGAAAAAGAGATTTTAGCTCACGGTGTTTTGACAACACAACCTGGAGCTAAAATCCCTTGTATAATAAATAACTATTTGTTTGTTTCAAGTTTGTTCTAAATAGGTTACTTTTCTGTTTAATCAAAGTACATAATGTTTCGACGTCATAGGTTTATTTCATTATCCTTTCTTGGAATTCGTATAGCATAAGGTATTCACTGATGGAATAAAAATCGAACTGGTATCCCTAGTCCGCGCGGAGAGTGAGTTGACAAAAAACTGTCATTTGCAGTTGTCGAATTGATTATTCACGAAATCCGACAGATTTCACATGTGACAGAAAGTAAAAATGAACAACAGAAATACACGCAAAAAATGGAAACTTAAACGACACAAACTATTATAACCGGTTATAACAGCGGTATAAAAAAAAAATATGCACGACCGGGCGTAAAGTAGCACTTTACCGCCCGCGGACTACTTTACCGCTCGGTGGGTGATAAAGTCATTGAGCTGGTGGTAAAGCTGATGTCACTATCATATCGCACTAGCTTACGAATTCTTCGTATACTTTGTCGTATATTTTTTTTATTGACTTGGCAATAAACTCAATTTTGCTTTCTCAGCTGCCTCACTGATTTCTGGTGGGTTACAATTCACACTTTCTTCATCACTAGAATTTTTTTTGAAATCACTAATGAATTATGTATGATTACACAAATTGACAATTAATATGGCTACTGGCCTATTAATTCCCATTTCGAAAAATTGACTGAGTTGCCATGGTAACCGAGATGGTAACGTTGATTCCATACTTCTTGATTAATTGTATTTGCGATATGGATACAATACAGTCTAACTGCAACCGTGATGTATTTTTATTGTGCTTGAGGGGTGAAGAGATACCTACATGAGATATCAAATATATACAGGTCGTGCATAAAATGTTGTATGTATTTCGGGCGTAACTAGCTTTTATGGACCTCGGTCTATTACTTACACGCTGCGGTCCATAAAAGCCTATTTTACGCCCTTGATACATAAATAACTATTATTTGATCTGAATCAGATAAAGTATTTTTGGTTTATACCTCGGTTCATGCATATTATTATGATCAGTACCTATATGTACATTTGTTACAGGGCGTGCCGGAATATCATTCAATTTATAAGTGTATGTGATTAACTAGAGATTGATAATAATATAGGTAATTTATATAGATTATGAAATATTCCATTATAGATCAGTAGATCAATGTGTAAATCTGGAGATCTACTGAAAATTCAGTGAAACTGGCAACCCTGCAGCGGACAAAAAGTGTTTGAGGACGAAAAGTCAGTGTCTGCGGACAAAAAGTACTTGCCTTCGAAAGTAGTCGGTTTTTCGTTCAGAAATTAGAACGTAAAATGTGATTTTTTGTAGAGGTCGACGGTCGACGAAAATTAACTATTTCGTCTCGTATTATATGCTTCTTATTTACGTAATTATTGGCAATGTAACGTAGATGAACAATAATGTTTATTACACAAAAAACAAGAAGCATTTTTCTGTAGTGGACGGACGCATGCATTAAAAACTGAAAATTTATTGGTTTTTCAAATGTAAGATGTATACCTATCCTATTGAATTATTGACTTATGTATCGCCATTGCATTATGTTCATGGAGAGTAGGGAAATGTTCAACTATAAATTGTGCAATGGAAATAAATTCAAAAGCTGTTTATCATGTTTAACATCAAGTTTAGATAATAGTAGGTACACGATCGATATATAGGTATACCGATACCTACTGATGACCTTGCTGATGGCCAATCAATAAATAGTATGACAGACAATGATATATCACTGAAATGATTTGGTTATTACTTTTTTCTACAGTTTTCCTGGTACATACATAAAAAATTTAAGAATTTTATAAAAAATTTCAGAAATCCCATTGATGACCCCTCTCATACCTCAAGAATCGAATACCTACAAGATGTCAAAAAAATAAAAGCTCATCCTTATTCATACAATATATAAAGCGACATTCAATAATACAAAAATTATAAAAATAGGGTTTGTTGAATTTCAATGGATAGAAGTTTCAACTTTTATCTGGAAATATGGTATTTTATCACTACATTTCGACTCTTGTCTTCAGACTTTCGACTTTCACCTCGAAATTTCAATTTTTTTTATTGAAATTTCGACTTTGATGTCGCGATATAATATATAATTGCGTATACCCTATAGGAACTCTAGACCAGTGAATATTGTTTATTCACCACTGATATTCACTGATGGTGTGTCTATAAGACATCATAGCTCTCATTGCTTGAAATTTTACAATCCATGAGCGATGGGATTTTTCTGAAATAATAACACATTGTGATATCAGATACAGAAATAAAATTCATGACATTCGATGAATCAATTTCATTTCCTCATCTGATAACACAATGACTTCATTGTGTTATTATTTCACAATAAATGTCATCTGCCATGAAATGTCAAATAGAGCATTACTTAGGAGAAAATCAGGTAGCTACAAGCCGTAGATATAAAAAATATATATAATTAATTTACAGACGTCGAAAAAGTATTGTGTACATCTCTCATCTACCCTCTCTGAAATCCTCTGGATTTGAATATCTTTGGAAATGTCACCCATCTGACAAAACTCGAAATTTTGGGACATAAAGTCGGAATTTCTATCGACTAGAAAAACAAAAGAACCATGGTACTGCTTCTGCCTTATAATATAATATACTAGAAAAGGTGGTGGCAGAACTTTATAGTTTTCATGAATATACTCACAACTAGAGTCGAATTTATATATGAAAGGTAATATTCATATTTGGCATCTGAACAACAAACTGACCTTACTCAAAAACAAATCATCATAATCTTTTACTCTTGATGTGAACTGTGATTATAATTGTATTTGTGGAATGACCTGCATAATTATTGATAAGGTGCTGAACTCGAAAGCCGATTCAAACTGATACTAATATTATTGATATTCGTACTTACATATCATGCGTACAGTTAGGTACTCTCTACACTTATTCAAGATTTATTTTCATATATTATAGGTAATTATAAATTGTTACATACAATATCATGAAGAATGAACTTAGATAAAGAGAAAGGACATTAATTGATAAACAGCAGCAAAACTGATGATTTCAGTTCGTAAGTATATAATTATATTTTCTATTTATTTTTCATAAAAGCTTGCATATGAATGAATAAGTACGAGAAAATTTAGGAGTTGATTCCTCATGTTTTAGGAGAAAACTTCAAATCAACATGGTTTTCTCCTAACTTGTTTTGTTCTGCGATATATAGGGGGGCGAAGTAAGATGTATTCATTATTTCTGTAGATATCCCCCGATTCCCGGAAATTTCACTAATATTACTAAGAAAGGTGTCTTTCTCATATAATGACGATGATTTTGTATCGCAGAATTCGAAAAATATAAAATATGCTTCATATACAATATTTTTGTGAGCTTCAATATTCAGGGTTTCGAAAGACATAATTCTTCACCAGATTCTATACATATAATATTTTCGGTTGATTTTTTCTCAAAAAAAGTGTGCAATTCTTGAGCAGATAATATACAGGAGGTTTCACAGGTAAAGGGAAATATTTCAATGTTAGATAGGGGTCACCAAGGTGGTTCTGAAAATACCATATTTGATAATGTATATCGAATATGAAGTGCTAAAATGAAAAATGGTATTTAGAAACTCATATTTTTTTTGTTCAAGGAATATATGGTTGATGGATTGACCTCCTTTTAGCGGACACTCTGTATATATGTGTTCATGAATCTGAGAATGTTCCTTTCCAATACTTTCACCCAATCAAGGGGTTCAAACTTGAACGATGGAAACTTGTTATTTTTATAGACGTCTATCGCAGATTCGTGATTAGGTTTTTCTCAATTCAGAATTTCTTTCTACGCCCTGTATGATGAATGTCAATTTATCATCGAGTTTATCATACCAGAGATTATACAGTGTATAATCTCTGATCATACCAAAGAAGGGGAGATTTGTATTTCGTGCAAGATAATTAAGTCATCATATGATGTCTTTTTCAAAATCAAGAGTTCATCAACAAGTAACAAGTCACCAATTTTTTTTTTTTCTACATTCATGCAAAAAGCAGAACTTTATTGAACTATATTCAGTGGAAAAAGAAGTTCTTTATTGCACTTAGTGCAATAAAGTTTTTATTGCACTCATCTGCCATTCTACTTCAACGTGCTGTCATCATGACAAACATTTTTTATATTACAACTGTGGTTATAGAAACGTCAGTCAAAAATTAATTCTGACAATTAACAGAATTGTGTACCTAGTGCCGCACCTCAATAAATCATTTTTTGCTTTTGACTGTTAAGTCATCATCAGTGCATATCTGTAAGTGAGTAATATGCTTTTAGCTATTGGAAAGAAATTGAAATTGGAAATTCAAAAACATTTTTCGAACAAATTTTTTTGAAAAAATATTTTTGAAAAAATTGTTTTGAAATTTTTTTTGGAAATTTGTTCAATATTGAAAAAGGTAAATAGTTATTTATGCAACAAGTGCAAAAAGTGAATGTGTATATATAAAAAAATAAATTGGTGACTTGTTACTTGTTGATGAACTCTTGATTTTGAAAAAGACATCATATGATGACTTAACAGTCGAAAGCGTTCTGCTACGAATATTGAATAATATATCTTGCACGAGATACAAATCTCCCCTTCTTTGGTACATATACACGTGCACACAGCCCAGCAACCCTAATTTATCATACATCCAAAAAATCTCCATCCCTCGTTCTTCCAGGCGTCAACACGTCGGGCGGCCTCTCCATGACCGACGACTACCCCAAGGTGTCGTCCTCCTCGTCGGGCAGCGCCTTGCCCGCCTTCAACCGACTGCCCTCGACCTTCCACCACGCTGCCAACGGCCACACGCACGGCCACGCACACCACCGCACCGCGCCATACTCGCTGCCCGCCTCCTCGGCCGTTTACGGCGACTGGTCGGTGTACGCCGCCGATCCACATAACCTCAATGCGGGCGGACAGCGCAGTCGGCCCATATCGGCGGCGGCCTCTCTGTCAGCAAGTAAGTCACAATTTGAACTAAACACTAAACATAAGGTTCAAAAAAAAGCTATACAAAAGACAACCCAATCTCAAGAATGGTGGAACAACTCGCCAGGAATGAGACAGGCAAAAGAGTTCATTAAAAAACCATCGCCAACATTCACAGAATATCTACTGAGCCAGAAACGAAGTTCAACTACAATACTAGTGGGACTTCTCACAGGGCATTGTAGGCTCAACAAACACATGAGTACGATAGGTCTGACTGAAGAACTGCTGTGCAGGTTCTGTCAGGAAGAAGAGGAAACAGCAGTACACATACTTTGCCACTGTGAGGGCTTGTCAAGACTAAGGTTCCTTACGCTGGGTGAGGAAAAACCAGAAGCCCAAAGATACACAGGGGATCTGAAAGCTAGCCTATGGAGTCTCATAGAGAAGGCGGGGCTAGCCGAAGAACTCTAATCGATTTTGAGGGCAGACACAATAGATCTGAAAAGGTCGCGGTGTGGAGGCAGATAGCCCGAAGGCCCCATTCCAAATCTAATCTAATCTCACTGTTGTTCCTGTGTCTGAATTTCTCGAACAAGATTTCGTTTGCAAAAGGTAAAACAGATTTATATCATAAGGTAATAGACTGGAAGAGCCTGACATTTGACATAATAAATGTCATTCTTGTCATACCTTATCCGAAGATTTGACATTTTTGCACCATTTTTGACAAGAACTAGGCAAAAATCAAAGAAAATAAATGACATAGATATAGAGCATTAGCTCATGGAACAGATCATAATCATTCACTGAGCACGGAACTCGAAGTTTTAGTCATGAAACATCAAATTCTGGATCCAACTGCAAATATTAAAAGATACATGACAAAACGTAAAAACGTGACAATCTCCAGTTTCAAGTTGAATACAATGTAGAATGGTATTAACTTTTATGCCCACTGCAATACGAAAGGTCAGTATATTTTCAAAAACATATTTGATTCAAATTGTGAGCAAATATAATGCCGTAAGTCTTTTCATTTTGCAAAGAGAAATTAAAACATAAATTCGGTCGAATATAAAATTAGATTATTACAAAACAGATTTTGTTACTACAGTTTCGGCACTACGGTCATTACCAGAAACAAGGTACCAGTGAGGAAATTCGAAAAAAACAGAAAGTGCTACTGTGCGAAAAAAAAAATACTGAAAAAGTCTTGCAGAAGAACAACGAAATGACATAATTGTAAGATATTTTATTTCCTTTCAATCTAATTAGGCAAGTGATTCGAGAAAAGTTTTCGAGTCACATGCAAAACAATCGCCAAACTTTTGGAGGTTATATGAGTTCTTAAGAATACTTCCTTTGGCAAAGAATTTTGAAGCTTTGTCGTTCTATAAAAACGAACGAGTTCTGGAAAAGTTGTTCCACCTATCTCGAGGTTGGCGACAAAAAAAAATGCTGACTGGGCTTTTCAAGTTCGTCTGACTGGTCGTATATTGCTGGTGATGGAATGATAGCTAAAATTTCGGAAGAACAAGTATCTATAGAAAAGTGTAAAATCGCCTTGTTGCCAATAATCTCAAAAGGAATGAGTGAGTGTGACAACACCAACCAGGTGAATGGCTCGTCTCTAGAAGGAATCTAAGAGCATCTGCGTATGCTTGGGTGCTGAACCATATAGATGTGAAAACAGCATTCTGAAACAGGCCTTATCTAATAATAAAGAAACTTGTTGATCAAGATTTATTCCATTAAAAATATATTAAACGTATATTCGAAACAGTTCCATTTGCATTGGTTATATTATTTACCATGAACTTCTGGATTATGATTGGGTTCGAAAAAATAAGTACCTAGCGAAGATAAACTATAAATATTATTACCGCCACCCATCATGATGACCTATAAGACAAAAATATTCTGACAGATAGATATATGTATATCAGGCAAAAAATCCCAGCCTTTCTGCAATAAAACTGAAACCCGTAGCTCCATATATCACTCGAAAAGTAATTTTATGCCTGCTTTAATCCCTTTGCCAAAATCGTGTTGACATAAATGGGCCTAAGGGAAATTGGGTACCGAAATCGAGTTAAGTCGGGTTCAAAAGTTATGCCTTCAAAAACATTCCTATGCATCTGTACAGGGTGATCTATATTATATGAGTGCAAAAAAATCAGTTCACCATTCGAGACACTGTATGCAAAGTTTCAGAGCAATTCTATTACATTTATGTTATTTATCCAAACTGGAACCTGTGAAGAAACGATACACATGCATCCAATTCATCAAATTAATTATACAGGGTGCCTGTAAAAGGTTGGGACATGGCTCGGCTGTGGACTCCTGGAATAAAAACAAGTTGATTTATATCCAAAATCGTCTCGTTGAGTTGGTACAAGGCGTTGAAGTTTTTTAAAGCCAGTTCAACACTATTTTTTATAATATATAATGTTGTTTGCAACTCGAGCGCGAAATTCTTTGGTCATCTCGACTATTTTTTTAACTCAGCTACGCCTTCTTAACCCTCCAGTGTCTGAGGGACATTCAATTTTTTCTGTGAAATAAAAATATATTTATAATCAAAATATAGTCAGTTTATATGATTCTGATCGAAGGAAACCTAATTGGAAATCAGATTATACTATTAAAAAAATACAATTCCATTCAATATCCTCTTCATTCGTCATACATGTTATCATGGGATGTATAGAAGTCATCGTTGTTCTGCTCCTAATATGGATGATTTCTGTTAGAAATGATATTTCATTTGTATGAGAATATATACCTTTGATTGAATACGCTCAATTTCTTATAATATGAATTGAAACAAATCTATGTACCAGATTTGTTACATCACTGGTGACGTCGGTCTGACAGTCCGAAACCACTAACTACTCGCTTCCTGCTAACGCTAGCGCTTTTTGGTTTACAGTACGCAGAGTTGAAAAATCAGATCTCGATCACCAAAGTAGCATTTCGCGCTTTAGATACAAGAATAACTATTTTCCTGTGACGGGAAAAACATTGACATTTTATCTCCGTCACATTTCATAAATTACTTTCTCCCACGGGAAGAAGTGAGTACTTTTTACGGGAGACAACAGAACCTCGAGCTAAAATCTATCACTTTTTTCCCTTGGGAAAAATTCAATATCCTCTTCATCCGTCACACATGTTATCATGGGATGTAGAAAGTCTTCGTTGTTCTGCTCCTAATATGGATGATGATTTCTGTTAGAAATGATATTTCATTTGTATGAGAATATATACCTTTGATTGAATACGCTCAATTTCTCATAAAATGAATTAAAACAAATCTATGTAGCAGATTTGTTACATCACTGGTGACGTCGGCCTGACAGTCCGAAACCACTAACTACTCGCTTCCTGCTAACGCTAGCGCTTTTTGTTTTACAGTACGCGAAGAGATCCGAAAAAGGTTGAGCTAGACTGCAGGGGTGCCCATATACGGTCGATCGCGAAGGCTTTCAAAGTTGATCGCCCAGGAAAAATTCAAAAAAAAAGTATAAAGAATTAAGTATGAAGACTGTACCTGTGTACCACAACATCCCTTCGGTACGGTGGCTTTCTTAGTCGACATTACAAAGCACCTGAACGATATAAACCTGGATTTGCAAGAAAAAGTCAAAAATATTGTGGACAGGATGTCCTCCATAATTGCTTTCAAGCGTAAGCTGAAACAATTGAAGGAATAAATTGAAAACAAAGACTGTAGGAACTTTCCAACCCTGCTATTGAACAGAACTCTGATGATAGATTCGTTTCTACGAAAACGAAGTGACAAAAATTCTGAGCGAATTTGAAAGACGCTTTGAAGATATTAATAAAATGAAGAATATTTCATCATTTCTGTCTTACCCATTTACCTGCACAAATGTTCATGAAATCTCTTCTACCTGTAGCGACTATTTTAATATGGAATGTACTGCTCTTGAGGATGAAATGTTGAAGCTCATTTCGGATATAAATTTAAAAGACGGCAACAGTGATTCTTATTCTTACTGATATCTGTTTTCTTTACATCAGCATATCTGTGCGAGTCTGCATTTCGGATATGAAAATAATGGAATCGAAATATCGCACACGTCTAACAAATGACCACCTCACAGCTTGTTTGCGTTTAGCATTAACAGAAAACATCCCAAATTAAAAAAATTCGCGGAGGACCACCACCAATGTCATGCTTCGACATCAGCGTTAAAATATGTTTTGTTTTTTATCACTCATCAGTCATATTTTTCATTATTTTTGTAGTGTTGGATGATTTAAAATTCAATACACATCATGCTCTAATGCAGTTTCACTTCTAATTCTTTTTTGATAACTATTTCGCCTTCACGATGAACCGACGATCTGCGCGATCGCGCGCCTTCGATGAATGCAAAAAACGCAGATCATTGAAAGAGGCCTTTATGTGTCTAGCAGTGGACGTTCAAAAGGCTGAAATGATGGTATGATGGTGTCATTATATTCTGGTTTCAGTTGATGGGATGTATGGTTTAAAATGTCGATCTCCTAGTCAAATATTTTTGCTAGGTCGATCTCCCCAAGAAAAAGTATGGGCACCCCTGAGCTAGAGGGAAGCAGTAAAGGGGGTATCGCGCGATAGCGACCGCAGGTCACCACTACATCTCGATCACCAAGTAGCATTTCACGCTCTAGATACAAGAATAACTATTTTCCTGTGACGGTAAAAAAGTTTTGACATTTTATCTCCGTTGACAGGTTACAAAATGTCACATTTCATAAATTACTTTTTCCCACGGGAAAAAGTGAGTACTTTTTTCGGGAAACATTACAACCTCGAGCTAAAATCTAATAAATTTTCTGTACAGTTCTACCATGATCTACACTAATATCGTACCTATTTTTCTTCTCGTAACACTCATCAATATGTTTCAGATGTGGCCACTTATAGGGTCTTAACAAGTTGAAAGGAATGTCTCATAATTTGTAAGTGTAGGGCACAAAAAACCACACACGTTCTGGCTTGTAAAAGATACC